TGGAAATGGTGAGTGTCAGGCGCTGGAGTCCGTCTGTGATGGCTGGCACGACTGCCCTGACGGCACGGATGAGCTAAACTGCACCGGGGTCTCCTACCCGGCATTTGGTGAGTGCTACCCCAGCTGTGCCACTCAGCCCCCCCCTGAGCCCACCCGAGCTGGGAGACACACTGGTGGGTGCCCTATGGCTAACATCTGCCCAAGGCAGACCTGGTGGGCATCACTGCTGCTGTAAGAAGTGATGCACCTCACCCTCTGGCAGGGTCTGTCTGTGAGCCTCTGGAAGTGGAGATGTGCCTGGGACTGGGCTACAACGCCACCTCCTTCCCCAATATGTGGCTGACCAGGAGGGAGCCGCCGAGGTGCTGCAGGACTATCAGGTGAGCTGCCTGGGGGCTGCGCGTGGGTCTGCCCACACTGCACCGTGCCACACTCTCTGCCACTCACCCGCAGATGCTGATGGAGCTTGCCTGCTACCAGCACCTCCGCCTCCTCATCTGCAGCCTCTTCGTGCCCAAGTGCACCCCGGACGGCGGTGTCCTGCAGCCCTGCCGAGCCGTGTGCCTGGCTGCTGAGCTGCGGTGCCAGCAGTCCCTCGGCCTCCTCGGCATCCTTTGGCCCATCAACTGCAACATCCTACCCGACTCCAATGACCCTGTAGAGTGCTTCCAGCCCTGACCTGGCAAGAGAAGAGGAGCAGGGACTGGAGCAGCCTGCCCAGAGCCTCCCCCCAAGATGTCCCTCCTATTCTCCTCCTGTTGCAAACACCCAACTGCTGGGATGGCCCCCACCAGCAGCACCCAGCTCCTCGCCTGCCCTGGGGTCAGCTCCTCTGCTCAGCACTCAGCTCAGCGCCCAGACACCATGCGCTTGCCCACAGGGCCTAGAGAGCAGATGCCCCTTTCCCAGCCTGGCTACAGGGAAAGGCTTGTGCTGAAGGGACTGTGCCCACATGTTGGAGCTGTGCGGGGGACACCGTGCAAAGTCCCCCTTGCCAAGAGGCAGGATGGTGCAAGAGAGTTGGGTGCTGCCTCCCCATCTTCATCCAACCCTGGGCGTGTTGACCAGAGCTGTGCACGGTTCCCAGCCCACGTCTCTCTTTCAGCCCCCCCGAGGCTGTGCGTGGCCTCTTTCCCACAGACCTCGGGCAGCTGCTAACCTGGCAGGGGAAGGGTTAATGCTCCCCAAATGGAGCAGGGCTGGGCCGAGGTGAGCCAGGCTGCAGGCAGAAGACCTCAGGGCTGCTCATGTCCCACAGCCCCAAAGCCAGCAGAATAAACAGTGCGAGCAGCTGATGGAGCAGGTAGCTCATGTGGGGAGGGTCTGTGTGTGTGTCCGGCCAGATCCAAAGGGAAACTGAGGCATAGGCCGAGGGAGGGAAGCTGGGGGAGGTCTGAACAGGAATGGAGGGTAACAGGGGTGCCTGCATGGCTGCAGGGGGGAATGGGCTGCTGGCTGTGCCCTCAGTGGGCTGGGGGGCTTGCAAGTCTCCAGGGAGACAGATGGGTCTCAGAGGGGGCCAGGCTGGCAGCCCTACAGTGCCGGGAGGGTATCCTGCCCCAGAAGGGCTGTGGCCCTGCTAGCTGAGCTGGCTACCCTGGCTTCAGGCCAGCCTGATGGCCACAGGCCTGGCAACACCCTGCAGCCACAAACCAGCTCCCAGCTGGCCAAAAACAACAGCCTCTTCACAC